TAGGGTAGCTCCGTTTATTAACACATCTAACAGTCTATATTTTTGTCTCCAAAGTCATATACAATACGGCAGTTGATGTTAAAAGTTTTCGCATCACTATGCTTCCCCCTATGTCCCTCCTGCTTGGAAGACCTTGATTAAATAGCATTTAAGTGATTGTTGTTAAAAGGGTCACTTCTATCACACTGATATTCTCAGTTATTTAACAAGTTGGTGAAGTAAATCAAATGGAGTGATAAAGGAATGGCGACAGGAGGAAGGGTCAACACAACACCTACAATAAGTTAGAGGGAGAGGAGGATAGATGCAGTAACAGTTGTTGTTTCCACACCTCTTCAGGTATTTGTTTTGCCCAGAGTGGTAGATTTGCATCAGGCAGTTTAAAATCGCGTAGACAAGCCTTTATTTCAGCCGCCTTTTCTGAAAGGGAAAACAGGCTTAAGAAATGGTGGATAGAGTTTTCTTTATAAATCAGCTCACTCACCTTCAGAAAGCGGAATTCGCCTGTCGTCCTCACCCATCGGTGTTCTCCATAAAAGGGCTGGTGATGACTCATCCGGGACATATTCATGTTCTGCCTAAGGGGTTGGAGAATGAAAAGAAAAGATCGTTTTATCGAATCTTACCGAACTAGAGAAGGTTCCAAAGATCCCTTCATCGGAATTCAACGCTCGTCGCAAGGCTTCATCCACCGCGGCATCATTAAGGAGACCGTCGCTCCAGGCCGTGTCATTTTCGTCATTCTCGCTGCTGGTAGTGCTGTCATCATTCATGTTGCTATCCTCCAGCAAAGTGTAGCCATCATGCTCCGGCAAGGGGAACGATGGATCCTCGTCATTTGGGAATGCATTTTCTTGGCTGGTTGGTGTGGAGGCAGCGCTTCCACGGCCATTGGTTATAGCAGCTTCCCGCATCTTCTCAATTCCTATTGGATGATAAAATAGCCATTTCCTCAAGACTAAGAATTGCCCTCTGCATCGACAGCATGGTCAGAAGGTCGTAGCATAAACCTTTTACAACTCCTTCCTCTCTATCACTAATAGGTCTTACTTCATGCATTTATGATTTATAGGAACCGAAGAGAGGATGCAAGTCCAATGTGGGAAGGCAACTAGATTTATCAGCATGGTCAGTTAACTCTGATGTTATTGAAGGGAATCTGGTCCAGGTACTTAATTTTTTAAAGCAGCGTGTGCAGATAAGGCTTTTTTCGGTAGGAGTATTTGATACAGTCACTGCGGAAGCCGTGACCTTACCTCACAAAAGTCCTCTTATCAAGGCATGAAAGTACATTCAGCTGGTGATCACAAGTGTTTGCCATGGGACTCAGCAAACTTTCCTTCTTAATAGGATGCCCAAATTTCTACCAAGTTCTTAAGCCTTAAAGGAACTCCAAAACAACACAAGAGAAGCAGCTAAAACCAACTAGTATGAAAAAGGGTAGTTGCCGAGCTTGCTTTTAAATTAATTTTCAAGAGAGCACAGCATGGAGGCGCGCCATCTTACAATTGAATGAACTATGAACATGCGAAGGAAATCGCCACACTGGCCAATCAAGCAAATGATCATTTGCTAGGATGAGGGTGAAACCAAAATAGAATTGTGCGATGTGACAAACTAGACATGACTTTTAGTCAAAATACCTTGGGGAAAATTGCTCTTATTCTGTATGCAAATAGCAGCTACTTTACATCTATAACAGCATAAGCAGGATAATCAACTGATCCATGCGCAATTGTTAGAGCATCGATAAATAGTCTACTTAAAAAGGAATTCAGTTACAAAAAGAAAAGTTTATTGAAGACAACTTGGGAACCGCTTGGTAAATATACAATCGAGGGGGGGCCAATGTACGAAACAAAGATCCTGAGACGTGAAGAGAGGAGAATAAGTTAACCTAAATCTGGGGTCTTCTCCAGTCCAAAGGCGTAGTTGTCCGCTATTTCTAAAAAAAGCTTTCGACAATCAACCACAGCACCCAGTTTGCCGCAAAGCAGAAAACATCCAGACATCTTGCGGTGGAGAGAGTAGGTCTCCGCCGGTGGTGGAGTGAGACGGTGTTCCAGCATTACAGGAATTATGCGATTAACGCGATAGGTAGTTGATTGCTTTCCGAAATCAAAAGGTGCCTTAGAGGCAAAGGCCTCGCCTAACACACTCACTGCCTCCACGTGAGCGTCCAAGAAGACCTGAGATTATAAGAAAATCAGAGGAAGTGGGGAATCGCAGGTGGACATAAAGATGTGTTATGTTAGCGTGAGGATTTAGGGGCTATAAGTGCGAAAACGCCAGTAACTCGGAGGAACTACGGGCTAAAACCTAAGTAATCAAAGCTAAAATACTTTAAGCTTCGCAATATCAGCTGAGAACAAGTGGTAGGGACCCACTTTCGTTTCGTAGCCCGTTAGAAAGCCCAGCCGTCTTGAGTACTCCAAGATGCCCGGCTTGTCACCTTTAGATGCAGCTACAATCACCCGCAAGTAGTCATCCACAAACCGGCGTGGGTACTCTCTCGA